CAGTGAGCATGGTGAGTACATATCTCCCTAATTGTTTATAAATGACAGAAGTGGGCATATAAGTTGATCAGAAAAAATTATATCAGAAAAGGTAAAATCTGTCTTTCTTTCTAGATCTGCTGAAAACTCAATCCAAAACTAGAGGAGTGCTTGAACTAAAACTTAGTCCACAAAAGGCAATTACATTAGCCATTTTTGTACCCCATAATATTTGAAATAAAAATAAATAAATAAATAAAACTAAAAAAAAAAGACAATAAAGGAAAGAGCTTTATATTTCAGGGTCTCTACATGCAGAGTATCCCAAAATGTATATGCAAGAACAATTTGGTGGAAGAAAGAAAGAACAACATTACTAAATGGTTCAGCACTGAGGCTGAGGCTAAATGTTTCCTCACAAAATGTCCTTTTGGGCTTGAAGAATAAAAAGACATAAAGGAATAACCAACAGATTTTTATAAAATTCCAAAATTCAGCTTTAAAAAAGAAATAACCATAAATAAGACCCACTAAAGATATAAATTATATGAAGATTCACTGGGCTGTAAAAAAAAAAAAAAAAAAAAATATAAATTACTCTCCCCAAGTTAATGTTTAAAACAAGAAAACACTCTTACTGGGTTTTTTTTATTTTAAAATATTAAGGGAGTACAAATATTTTTGTTACACAGATACCATGTAAAATGCTTACGTCAGGGCTTTTGGAGTGCCCGTCACCAGAATAGTGTTCACTGTACCCAACGGGTAAGTTTTTATCCCACACCGCCCCTCCCATGCTCCCCCCACTTATTGGTTTCCAGTGACCTAAAGGTCATCTCCTCATGTGTGTGAAAAACACTCTTATTACAATCTCTACTAAAGCTCCAGAAAATGAAAATACAACAATGGTGTTCAGTAAACAAAAAATAAAATTTTCCTAAAGACACATGCCAGATTCCAACAGTCCTCATGGCTTGGGTCTCACAATGATTTATACAAATGTGAGGATCTCAATCACACAAGTAAAGCACTTGATGTTCACCCTCTGAACACGAAATATTCACGTCAAAGCTTTCTGCATACTTTTACAACTGAAGCATATTTTACTCTTATAAAATTTTTATTTTTAGTGAAGAAAAACACTACAAGCAAAGTATTTGGGTCAGTAGTGCCTGCTCATTTTCTCTAGCCATGCAGATTTCCATAAAAGTATAGTTACTTCTCTATTATTTTGGCTTCTTCATATCTCAAAGGATACTGGAATATATATTGTGGTGTAGAAAAAAAGTTAACATATGTACTTGGCTGCTGATTTTTCAATTGCACTTTTTGGGTCAAAGAAAAAAGTAACATAGGCAAACTGAGCAGGAGAGAGAAATTTAAATAGGGAGGGGGAAAAACAAACGAAACCTACTGCCATTAGTTCCCAAATAAATAATCCCCAAGCATGTCACAAATTATGGTAAGTAGAAGTAATATGCCAATATATATTGAATTCTCACTGTAAAAATCCAATACCAAGCTCTATTAACAACACATCAAATCTGATGACTTTGGCTACCTTTAACACGGTGGTTCTCTAGCGTGAGCAAGAGTAAGACTCTGTCTCTACCAAAAACAGAAAAATTATCCAGGCATGGTGGTCTGTGCCTGTAGTCCCAGCTAACAGAGAGGCTGAGGCAGGAGGATTGCTTGAGCCCAAGAGTTGGAGGCTGCAGTGAGCTGTGATGATGCCATTGCACTCTACCCATGGCGACAGAGCAAGACTCATTCTCAAGAAACAAAACAACAAAAACTACATGGCAGTTCTCAACCCTGGATGAATATTGAAATCATCTGGGGAGCTTTAAAGACTAGTGATGCTGGCCAGGTGTGATATCTCATGCCTATAATTCCAGCACTTTGGGAGCCCTAGGCCAGAGGATTGCTTGAGGCCAGGAGTTTGAGATCAGCCTGGGCAACACAGCGAGAACCCATCTCCGCAAAAAGTAGCTGGGCATGGTGGTACATGCCTATGGGCCTGGCTACTCGGAAGGCTGAGGCAGGAGGATTGCTTGAGACCAGGAATTAGAGGCTATAGTGAGCTTTGATTGCACCACTGCACTCCCACCTGGGCAACAGAGTGAGACCCTGTCTCAAAAAAAATAAAAAAATGGTGAGGCCCCATCCCCACAGATTCATATTTAATTGGTCTAGGGTATGGCCTGAGCATCAAAATTTTTAAAGCTCCAAAGATGATTCTTTGCACAACCATGGTTAAGAATCGTGGCTTTAAAGTAATATAAATTGAAGATAGTAATTTAGTTGCTTTGGGGTATATAAATAGACATATACACACACCAGGGTTCAACAAAACCTGGTTATACTTCTTGGAAGTAACCTCCTGATATCCTAGGATCATTAATTCTCTCATGAGCTTATCCAATGTCAGCAATGTGAAAAGAACTTTGATTTGGATGTCTACAGATGTTCTAAAAATTGGAAACTTGATTTAATGTAATATTTCATAAATAATGCTCACCTAGAAGCTAGCAGAAGTACTAACCAAAGACCCAGCTCTCAAAAAAACATTTCCTATAGGATTTGGGCTGCATATTTTACCGCTAGTCTAGGTTCTATTATGTTTACTTTTTTCTTTACAACTTTTCTGGACTTAAGAATATATTTGTATTACGAAGGATTTTGTGGGGTAAAGTGTAATTTCAATCATTTTCATAATGACCATTTTTTACTACTTTGAAGTGTGAGTGATGTACAAAAAATTGCACATATTAAAATTTACAATTTTGTAAGTTTTGACATTTGTATATACCTATGAAACCATGGCAACAATTAATATAAACATTTTTATCACCCTTAAAAGTTTCCATGTATCACTCTGTAATCTAATCCGTCCTTCCCCCCACATTTATTCCCAGGTAAACACTGATCTGTTTTCTATCACTATAGATTACTTTGCATTTTCTAGAATTTTATATTAATAAAATCATACATTATGTACTCTTTTTGTCTGACTTATTTAACTCAGCAAACGATTTTGAGATCCAAACATTTTCTGTCAAAATTCTTTCCTTTTTATTGCAGAGTGGTATTCCTATTAATGCTTTTGATTATTATATTGTATAACTACCATGTTTTCTTGGCACAGAATATTGTTAGAAGCTATCAAAAGTTCTTAAATATTGGTGCCAATGGTTTTTGGAAAAAATTCAGTCTAGCAATCCCCAATTTAGTTCTAACTTCACCATTTATTAGTATGTCTAAAGCAAGTCATTTATCTGTCTCTGATACCGTCTCTAGAAAACAAGGATGTACCATCTCACCTATGTAATTTACCTACATAAATCAGATGATAGCTTAAGGACACTCTTGTAAAACCTATTGATTCTATTGAGATAGGTAAATCTTCCAGGCACATAGTTATGCCTATTTGTTTACATATTACCTCTGGCTACTTTTGAGCTACAACAACAAAGTTGAGTACTTGTGACAGAATCTATGGCTAGCAAGCCTGAAATATCTGTCCTTTTAAAAAAAAGTTTACCAAACACGATCAGAGGTTGGTAAACTTTTAACATATTAATCTCTTAACATATTAATCACAGCCCTCTATTACCTATACATATTAATTATAACACAACAAGGAAAATCAAAATGCACATTATAAACCCCAATTCAAGAAATAATAGGTAAAAGTCAGGTTAAAGAAATACTATAATAGCTTTCTAGGAGTCTTGAAATAGATATGTATGTTTTAATATTCCTGCTCAAATGTTAAATACTTAAAGACAAAATGAAATAATCACTATTGCCAGAATAAAAAATGAATAGCCTACATAAACAACCAATGAAGCTTAGATATCCAAGTGTACCTTTTGCAGCTTTTTAATGTCAGATTTTTGGTATGTATATGTGCCATATAACATATTAGAAAATAAACTTTAGAATCAGACAAATCAGTCAATAAGTACAAGTAGCACTATTTTACAATAACTGAATAAAAGATATTCCAAATTTACTTTTAAAAAGTTTTTTTTTTGTCTGCGGCCACCCCGCCCTGACTGCGCTGGATCCCGTCTGCCCTTGGAAGCTAAAAAGGTTTTTTTAATGAATTATCTTTTAAATTGAAATTAAAGTCTATATGGAACTGCAAACACTGAAAATCCCAAAGAAACTTTCCAGCTAAAAAATACTCTCATCATTAAAAAGAAATAAATTTCTATTATAGTATATAATAAAAGCATTTATTTCATTATTTGTCTGAAAATAAATCTGACTAGCTAATTCAGTATTCTCAGTTTTCTCTTCCTAATTACCAGTTTCTTTCTTTCTTTTTTTTTCCAAAAGACATAGCCAGGACATTAAAAATCTGATCTGGCAGTCATCTGGAGCACAAACTGAATGATTTCAAGAAAAATCATGCAGATGCCAAAATTATCTCCTAAAATGACTGTGGAAACTGCAAGGAAAAGCAGCACTATTCTGTAAATAATCAAGATCAAATTGAGCATTATTTGTGAGCTCAAGGACATAGTCTTTAATTAATGTCATTAATGTATTAATAATACATTAATATAATTAAGATACATTGCCTCCTATACCTGAATGACTATAAAGATGACTGAGATAGTTTTGTTCTGTGTTGTTTAATCTCAATTCTTGGTCTTTGTTTAGTATCTCTGTTATTGCCTTGGAGATTCTAACCAAATTCCAAAGATTGTGAGATATAACCAAAATGCTATAGTGACCAACTCTGTGCAATCACCTTATTGACTCACTCTGTTCTTCTGAGACAGCTGCCAGGACCCTGAGGCTGGTTTCCAGACTCAGTCCACAATTGGGAGTATCTAAGTTTTCAGATGATTCTACCTCTGAAAAGAGACTCTAGGAAATAGAATCTATTTCCTATTATTATTATCACTGCAAAGAAGATTGTTATATAAAAATCAATCTGAATGTGTGGGCTAATATGTAATGAAAAATATAGTTTACAAAGGGAAATTGATTAAAGTTGAACTCACCTGTCCAATTTTCCCTAATTCCAGCTCAATTATGGCCACAGGGGTGTGTATCTGAGCTGAGTGTCTTGACTGAGACTTGCCATCAACTCTCCAGCTCAGGCCCCGAAGCCCACTGTCCCAGCGGCTCTGGTTCACGAGGCTCTCTCGGATTTTTGTCTTGTGGCTCTTCCAGAATTTGGAAATGACAGCAGCTTGGTCAGATGTGATCCCACCTTGCTTTTTGGTTTGAGCCGTCAAGAACGCCTCCAGCTGGTTGAAATCCATGTCAGCAGATGCAATAGACTATAAAGATGACACAAAGAGTAATGAATTTGAATTTACTAGATAACTACGAAAAGATAGCTTCTTAATTACAAATCATATTTTGAGTAATTCTTAAATCAGTGAAATAAGCTTTGAAAAAAGGTCATGGGGCCGAGTGCAGTGGCTCAAGCCTGTGATCCTAGCGAGTTTGGGAGGCCAAGGTGGGAGGATCACTGGAGGTAAGGAGTTTGAGTACAGCCTGGGCAGCATAGTAAGAACCTATCCCTAAAATTAAAATAAGAATAATAATTAAACAAAAGAATAAAATTAATTGGTTCTCTGATGAAATCTTACATAATTTCTTTTTTTTTTTTTTTTGAGACAGAGTCTTGCTCTGTTGCCCAGGCTAGAGTGCCATGGCGTCAACCTAGCTCACAGCAACCTCAGACTCCTGGGCTCAAGCGATCCTTCTGCCTCAGCCTCCTGAGTAGCTGGGACTACAGGCATGCGCCACCATGCTCGGCTAATTTTTTTCTATTTATTTTTGGTTGTCCAGCCAATTTCTTTCTATTTTTAGTAGAGACGGGGTCTCTCTCTTGCTCAGGCTGGTCTGGAACTCCTGAGCTCAAATGATCTTCCTGCCTTGGCCTCCCAGAGTGCTAGGATTACAAGCGTGAGCCACCGTGCCCAGCCGAAATCTTACATAATTTCATAGTGTCTTATAGCCAGTCTTGGTTTAATATACTACAATGGTATAAAGCCTTGTCCATAAGAAGCACAAAATAAATTGTGTTAAATGAATGCATTATTTTAGCTTTGAAGCCCATCTTCAGCCAAATAGCCCATTCATAACAATACTACTCTGAAATTATATACTACTATGTACTTTTCCATAAATTTTCAAAACTTAATTGCTATTGAATCTGGGTTCTCCATTCTAGCATTCAAGAAAACACAGTAGCTAAATATCGGCTCAAGTACAATAAAATGCCTTAAATTTACACAGTACTTTTTAACATTTCAAAGCATTTTCACATCTACAGACATATGTCATTTTATTGCACTTGGCAGATATTGTATTTTTGTACAAATTTAAGTTTTGTGGCAATCCCACATTAAGCAAGCCTATCAGTACCATTTTTCCAATAGCATGCACTCACTTTGTGTTTTTCTGCAACATTTTTGGAATTCTCACAATATTTCAATCTTTTTCATTATTATTATATCATATTTGTCATGGTGTTCTATGATCAGTGATCTTTGATGTTACTATTTTAATTGTTTAGGGGAATCATGAACTGTACCCATAGCAGACAGCACACTTAATCAATAAATGATTTATTGATCAACCTCACCCCCCCTTCTCAGGCCTCGCTATTGCCTGAGACATAACAAAATTGAAATTAGATAATTAATAACCCTATGATGGCCTCTAAGTGTTCAAGGGAAAGGAAGAGTTGCACATCTCTCACTTTAAATCAAAAGCTAGAAATGATTACGCTTAATGAGGAAGGCAAGATAGGTCAAAAGCTAGCCTCTTGTGCCAAATAGTTAGCCAAGTTGTGAATGCAAAGGAAAAGTTCTTGAAGGAAATTGAAAGTGTTACTCCAGCAAACACAAGAATGATAAGAAAGCAAAACAGCCTCATTGCTGATACAAAGAAAGTTTTAGCAGTTTGGATAGAAGATTAACTCAGCCACAACATTCCCTAAGCCAAAGCCTAATCCGAAGGCCCTACTTCTCTTCAGTTCTGTGAAAGGTGAGAGAGGTGAGGAAGCTGCAGAAGAAAACTTTGATGCTAACAGAGGGTTGGTGCATGAAATTTAAAAAAAGAAGCTGTCTTCATAACATAAAAGTACACGGTGAAGCAGCAAGTGCTGATGTAGAAGCTGCAAGTTATCCAGAAGATCTAGCTAAGATCATTGATGAAGGTTGTTACACTAAACCAGGGGTGGGAAACCTTTTCATGTTGGAAGCCTGCATTAATTTAGCTGTAATCAAATAAGGCCATATTCAAGAAACTTCAATTACATATACTTTAAAATGTACATTATTTCTACTTGTATCTCTTTAAGATATCTCCATATTGCTTTCCACAGAGGTTGCACTAGTTTACAATCCCACCAACAGTGCATGAGTGTTGCTATCTCTCCGCATCCACGCCAACATTTATTGTTTTGGGACTTTTTGATAAAGGCCAGTCTCACTGGAGA